TTGTTGGAGGACTGCACCTACGGCTACGGTCGAAGCATCTACCATCAGAGACAGCTGAGCTTCGGGAGCGGGATGTGTGAGTAAGGTGGCATCAGCAAGGGAATTCTTGATTCTCTCAAAAGCAGTCAGTGCTTCACCAGTCAGCTCGAGGGAACCTTTGGGACCAGAAAGCATGTTGGTGAGCGGCAACATGAGATCAGCACAGTTTGGTAGGAACCGGCGATAAAAGTTCATCATACCAAGAAACCGTTGCAACTGACGCTTCGAGGTAGGGGGTGGAAAGTTCCGAATGGAGGCAACCTTTGAGGGAAGAGGCCGAATGCCGTGGGAGTCGACTAGATGACCGAGAAATTCTAGGGAGGGCACACCGAAGACGCACTTGGACGGGTTGAGAACAACGCCAAGTTGTTGAAGGCGGTCAAACACCGTTGTAAGATGTTCCATGTGTTCTTCGGTGGTGGAGCTGGCTACCAGAAGGTCGTCGATATATGCGTAGGCAAATGGTAGGCCGCGAAGCACTCTGTCTACAAACCTTTGGAAGGTCTGGGAGGCGTTGCGAAGTCCAAACGGCATGCGCAGGAACACAACGCGGCCAAAGGGGGTGGTAACGGCCGTCTTCGAAACGTCCTCTGGGGCTATGGGAATTTGGTGGAAAGCACGGATCAAATCGATCTTCGAGAATACAGACTTGTCGGTCTAGTAGAGCGACCATGTGGCCTGGCGAAATCTTATGACCCAGGAATTGGACTTCTGAGCATAGAAAGGTGTATTTGGCAGAGTTCAACGTCAGACCAGCGTGGCGGAGGGCTTCTAACACCTAGCTTATATTGCGGTTGTGCGGCTCGACGTTGGGACCGAATACGATGATGTCGCCCAGGTATACGAGGCATTTGTCCGGGACAAGGTGTCGTAACACGTGGTACATCAGTCGTTGGAAGGTGACGGCGGCGTTACAAAGCCCAAAAGGGAGTGTTTGGAACTCGAACAGCCCTTGGGGTACGATAAAGGCGGTTTTGTGACGTTCTTTGGGGTCTATCTCGACCTACTAATAGCCCGACTTAAGGTCCATGGTCGAGAATCAGGCTGCCCCGCCGAGGCTATCTAGGGTGTCGTCTGAGTGCGGTAGCGGGAATGAATCGCGGACGGTGACGGTGTTCAGGCGGCGATAGTCTATGCAGAGATGGAGGAAGCCGTCTTTTTTGGGGACTAAGGCTGTCGGTAATGCCCATGGAGAGGAAGACGGCTGTATAATGTTGGCTTTTAGCAGTTCGTCTATGCTTTCGTCTAGCTCTGCGTGGAACCATTCGGGTATTTGGCGTCGGGGTTGTCAAATGGGCTTGGCGTCGCCTGTGTTAATAGTGTGTTGAACTTTGCGCAGATGACCATGTGAACAACTTGGGAAATGACAGTTGGAGTCTACGTAGTCTCTGACCCGACTGCCTCCGCTGGGGGTAGGATCGCATCAACGTTGGACGGCTCGAGTGATGTGCCCGCCACATCGAGGTTCCCTGATGGTGAATGCGTGGGAGGGTCGTGGCGCGTTGGAACTGACAGGCGGCGACTCTTGGTGCGAATAACGCAGTCGTAGTCCGCCAAGAGATCCAACCCTAGAACCAAGGCCCAGGGGCTATTTGACGTCACCAGGAACGGGTATGTCACCTCTGTGTTGTCTATGGTGAGACGTAGGGTTACGCAGGGTATGGAGACTACTCGTGTGTTCGATCTGCTCGTGCAACTCGCGTGTTAGGCTGGAGCTATTCACGAGGGAAACACGGGCGTCTGTGTCTACTAAGGCCTGCATATTTCGACTTTCTAGCGTGGCGGGGATTGTGAGAGAGTGTAGTGATCAAGGACGTGAGATCCACTTAAATCACATACAATAATTTTGCTCCGTCTAGTGACAGAAGCCAGGAAGTTGTGAGAACGGGTTTATTCTGTACACAGGGCAGGTTGCCGTAAGTTGGCTGTATGCTTGTGGCAGAGATAAGCGTTCTTTCTGGAGCGCGTCAGTTGCGGAGCCTTCCGTGTGTCGCTACCACCAAAAAAGTGCTTTGTCCTTCTTACCTATGTCCTGTATGTTCAAAATCACGTCCTCAGGGGCGGCGTCCCGCGTGTGCACTTGTAACCAATCAGCGAAGGAGATCGCCTTGATTGGCTTCGAGAGCACGTGAGAGTAGAGGCAAATTATCGACCAGGAGTGTGGCGTGGACGGGAGTGCAAATCGAGGGTTAGCAAGCGCAGCCGTGGTGCGTATACAGTAGAACGAGGGGACAAAGAAAAGGCTGCTACAACTCCTCCGAGACACCAAACGAAGTGTTGAGGTCGATATGCTAGCCAACCACGAATCTGCTGGCCAGCGGACATGGCGACCGGATCGGGTTCGGCGCATCGGTGGGGGGACGGCGGCGTGGGTGTCAACGCCTGTGACGGAGAAGACGGTTGGGGTAAGGTCGATTGACAGTCGTCGAGGTATGCAGGTTTGACATGATCAATGCTGACGGTGTCCGTCTTTCCGTTGCGGTCGATGATGTCAGCTGTTTGCTTGCAACAGAGAAAAGCGTCCGTTCACGGAGAGCGTCAGTCGCGATGTGTGTGTTGTTTTTGCGGGAGTGCGTCTGGGTCAGCAGGAGGGGTGACTGGCTCAGTGCTGGTCGTGTGACTGGACAAATTTGGGGAGGAATAAGGGGCGCATGTACACAATGCCTCACGGGTATCAGGCCAAAAAGTTAGACGCGCATGGGGTGATGAAAGTTTGTGAGGTCAGCCGACAGTCACTGAAGTTGGATCGGAGGTGTCGGAGTGTTAGCCAGCGGGGGTGGCTGTGTGTCAACAGCTGTCGCGGCCATTATTCGACAAAACAGCCGGAGAAAAGGGGGACTAAAGCGGCTGTT